CACCGCCCCTCGCCCACAGTTTTAACGTTAGAGAGCCAAGATTTAACCCAGAGCGCCGCAAGCTCCCACGTGCAGGGCATTTCCACAGACTTGTTATTTTTCTCTTTTTAATGACCACATGGCTAAAGTCAGGGAAATACAATCAGCATTCCCTAAACACCATCACTTCTACATCCACCTGCGATCAGGGGCCGATGGGCAGCAGCCTGGCCTGGACGGGCTGCAGGGATGGTGTGAAGGCCACTGTGCCCCAGGTTTGAAGGACTCTGGCCATGATCCCTGGCCCGTGGGCAGAAAGCCCAGAGCCAACGGGAACTCCAGCCAGCTGCAGGCAGATGTTACTCTGTCCCAGTTTGCCAGGGGTGGGCACGAAGGGGCCCTTCCCCGTTCGGAAGTGGAAGTCGTCCCCTGTGCACAGCCCGCTCTGATCCTCGGCCTCGTGGGAGCCAAGTCCCTTGTCCCAGCCCACTTCCTGCAGAGAAGAAAGGGAAAGATTGCACAGAAGGGAGACATTCTTCCCTGGGAGGGTGGGGAGGTGGCCTGGCACAGAGAAGTTGTGGCTGCCCCATCCCTGCAAGTGGCCAAGGCCAGGCTGGAGGTCTATTAGAAGGTGTCCCTGCCTGTGGCAGGGGGTGGAAGGAGATGATCCCTGAGATCCTTTCCAACCCAAACCACTCCAGGATCCCAGGATGATTCCATGCTCTCTCTCTGCATTTCTTTGGCATCATTTCCTCTCAAAAACAACATCTGCGATTTAGTTGATTGCTAAAGCCATCATTTTAGAATCATCTCAGGAATCCAAAGGGACTGGAAAACACACAGAAATCATTCCTACACCCACCAAAGCATTAGGAATTGGAACCCGATTCCCTCATCTCTCTCCTTGTTCTTCTTGGCTGGAAAACCTGATGATCCCCACTGGCTGTTTTTAGGCTGCTTTTCTTCCACAGCTCCTTTCCTCCCGGCTGAAACCTCCTGGCATCTTCAGGCCTTATCTGGAGGGAAGCCCCTCTGAAGTATTTCCTCTCGTGGCAATTCTGTGGGATGAAGAAGTAAAAAAAGCACATCAAGAGCTCCTTCTACCCCCTTCCCTCGCAAACACCCTCCCAGCTTGTCCTTGGCAGCTCCATCCCCCCGGCAGCGGCACCCGACGCTTCGGCTCCGCTGGGAAAGGGACAGCAAGTGCAGAAGCAAGTTCAGGTCTGGGCAGGGGCTCCCTGGGGAACGGCACTTCAGTGCTTTAGTCCGTGGCCTTTCCTGCTGCCCTCCCTCCTGGAGGCAGAGGATGACCCGTCCCTTGTTTCTCCCACGCTGGCAGACCCAGGTCCTGCTCCTTTGGCCCCACTTTTCTTGGCAGACCCGGCATCATTTCCCAGGGTCCCCAGGAAACTTCTGCACTTGACCCACTGCTAAGTGCAGAGCACAGGGCGAGGGAAGGACAAATTTCTCGGCACCCACCCCCTGGAATTTCCCTCCTCCGCAGCACGCTCCCGTTCCCGCTGTCTCTGGAGGTGCCCACACGAGTCCTCCTTCTCCCAGCCCTGCCAAACTGACACACACACAGGAGAAATAACAAGTCTTGCTTGCACAATTCCCCACCCTAACCCTTGCCTGTCCTGCCCAGAGCTGAGGGAAATCTGACGGAATATTAATAAACCACCTTTGTTAAGAGCAGTCATCAGGCGGTTCCTTCAGGCTTTGCAGGAGTTTGTAGGGAAAAGCCCCAAATTCCAGTCCTACCTCTAAATTTGTAACAGCTTTCCTTGGAGAGATTCTGGACAGTAACACATACAACAAAATTAAAATCAGGAGAGGAGCCTTAAAAAATTATAATCAGGAGAGGAGCCTGAAAAAACTAAAATCAGGAGAGGAGCCTAAAAACCTGAAAATCAGGAGAGGAGCCTAAAAATCTAAAAATCAGGAGACGAGCCCAAAATCCTAAAAATCAGGAGAGGAGTCTAAAAAAATTAAAATCAGGAGAGGAGCCTAAAAAAATTAAAATCAGGAGAAGAGCCTAAAAAAATTAAAATCAGGAGAGGAGAGAGGAGCCTAAAAAAAAAAATCAGGACAGGAGCCTACAAAAACTAGAATCATGAGAGGAGCCTAAAAAAATTAATATCAGAGAGAGAGGAGGACCTAAAAAAATTAAAATCAGGAGAGGAGCCTAAAAATTAAAAATCAGGAGAGGAGCCTAAAAATCTAAAAATCAGGAGAGGAGCCAAAAAAAATTAAAACCAGCAGAGGAGCCTAAAAAAATAAAAATCAGGACAGGAGCCCAAAAAAATTTTAAATCAGGAAAGGAGCCTAAAAATATTAAAATCAGGAGAAGAGCCTAAGAGAATAAAAATCAAGAGAGCAGCCTCAGCAGAGGAAAAAAATCCGAGGAAAAAAAATTCAAATCAGGAGAGGAGCCTAAAAAAATTAAAATCAGGAGGGGAGCCTAAAAAATTAAAATCAGGAGAAGAGCCTAAGAAAATTAAAATCAAGAGAGGAGCCTAAAAAAATTAAAATCAGGAGAGGAGCCTAAAAAAATTAAAATCAGGAGAGGAGCCTAAAAATAAAATCAGGAGAGGAGCCTAAAAAAATTAAAATCAGGAGAGGAGCCTAAAACAATTAAAATCAGGAGAGGAGCCTAAGAGAATAAAAATCTGGAGAGGAGACTGAAAATTTTAAAATCAGGAAAGGTGCCTAAAAAAATTAAAATCAGGAGAGGAGCCCAAAAAAAATTAAAATCAGGAGAGGAGCCTAAAAAAATTAAAAGCAGGAAAGGAGCCCAAAAAAATTTTAAATCAGGAAAGGTGCCTAAAAAAATTAAAATCAGGAGAGGAGCCTAAAAATCTAAAAATCAGGAGAGGGGCCTAATAAAAAAAAATCAGGAGAATGGTCTAAAAATCTAAATCAGGAGAGGAGACTAAAAAAATTATAATTAGGAGAGGAGCCTGAAAAAACTAAAATCAGGAGAAAAGCCTAAAAATCTAAAATTCAGGAGAGGAGCCTAAAAATCTTAAAATCAGGAGAGGAGCCTTAAAAAATTAAAATCAGGAGAGGAGTATAAAAATCTTAAAATCAGGAGAGGAGCCTAAAAAACTAAAAATCAGGAGAGGAGCCTAAAAAAATCAAAAATCAGGAGAGGAGCCTAAAAAAATTAAAATCAGGAGAGGAGCCTAAAAAAATTAAAATCAGGAGAGGAGCCTAAAAAAATTAAAATCAGGAGAGGAGCCTAAAAGAATTAAAATCAGGAGAGGAGCCTAAAAAAATTAAAATCAGGAGAAGAGCCTAAAAAAATTAAAATCAGG